CCATTGTTTTTTTGTAACAGTATAAGAAAAATCATTCTTCTAATCACACAATCAGCTGAACATATCCTGTCTCTAGTGCTACCTAGACACTAGAGAATAAACCATGTTAATATTGTTCAGTTGAATAAATCAGGTCTCAGAGCTCCTTGAACTCTTTGTTACATATAACCCAGAAGCTTTCACTGCACTAGGGCACTGATCTTAATCTGTTTCCTGTAATGAACTTCTGTGTGCACGTTTTAGATCTAGTATTTATTTCACTCTGATTATCCCAATGAAATGACAACATGGTCTTACACGCTGAAGGGTAACCCCATATAGACCAATAAACTCCTCCTTTCTTTGCATAAAGGAGTTTCATTCCTTTATAACAAAATGAAGATGAGCAACTACATTGTGAATTCTGTTAGATTTACTTCACGGCTGCACCGGTGGCTTTCCATTTACATACTGATATATGCATAACACCGATAGCCATGTCCTTTTAGCTCAAACCAGTATTATCTGTTCCCTTTCATTCCAGGAACGTCTATTATTCTGCTCTCTAAAACATAGCTCAAAATTCAACTTGCATGAAAACATTCTGGAATTGACTCTACTTGTTCTACTTATTAATATTTTAAAATTTAAATTTATAGGGAATTTCAAAGATATACAAAAGTAAAGACAATAGTATAATGAATACCGGTAGTATAACCATGACTCCCTCAGCCTTGAGAGTTTTTTGTTTGTTTTTTTAATTAAATTTTATTGGGGTGACAATAGTTAGTAAAGTTACATGGGTTTCAAGTGTACAATTCTGTAATACATCATCTATATATCACATTGTGTGTTCACCACCCAGAGTCAGTATCCTTTCATCACCATATATCCATATATTTGTTTTTAACATGTTGCTATTATTGGTTGTCTGCCACTCCTCACACACTTAAAAATATTTTTCTGGGATATTTTAAAGCAACTTCCAGAAGAGATATATATACCATCCATAAATACTTTTTTTAAACATAACAATATTATCATTATAATACTAAATAAAATGAACAATAATTCTTTAATATCATCTAATATTCAGACCATGTTTCATTTTTCCCCCTTTGTCTCGAAACTGTCTATTTACAATGGATTTGTTTAGATCAGGGTTCATGAAGCTCTTCGCGTTGCATTTGGTTAGAATATTTCTTAAGTCACTTTGAATCTAACAATTCTGGCCCCCTTTTATAGAGCATTTATTTGTTGAAGAAACTGGCTTTCTTATTTATTTATCTTTCCGACATTTCCTTAGTATTGATGGACTGTGCTTGTCTCACTCAATTCATAACCCACAGTCCATCATATGGATGTCTCCCAGGCTTTTAGCCTGTTGGAAGCAGTCTACCCATGACACTTAAATAAAAATTGATGTGCCTCATGTAAATAAAATAAAATTATAAATAAAATAGAATCAACAGAGAGTCACATGTGGAATTTGACTTTACAATAATTATATTGCTATTTGCTGACCTCACCAAGAAGCTCTCATGGTGAATTATCCATAGAGCAGCATGGTTTGGGCTCATCTTTCCAATAAGACCTCAGCCCAAAGGGGCACTTGCAAAATCATTATACACAAGACACACATGCTCCTCCTGTAAGTACAGATACAAGTGTCTGGGTATGTGTAGCTTTCTGGTGTGCTAGGAAACCGTGCTTAGTATGATGAATCTTATCTACAGTGAAAACTACCCTGTTTTCAGTATCTTAGAAAGGAATTTTAAGATTTATAAAGTTGAGAGACGAGACAGTTTCCTTTCCAAACATTTATATTTTCCTCACCCCGATAGGAAGTTCATTTCAGATTGCATTCCTGTGTTTGAATTGTATTTCCTCTATGTCAGAATAGAAACAAGTTGAGATGTATGATAAATTCTCAATATATTGTACGAATGATAGTGTTGCTACATGTTTGCATAACATTGCATGAGTAATTCATTCAAAGTACACTGTCTAAAACGGCAGATAAGGGGAGTGGAGTGCTGAGTGGGTTTCTGAGAAAAGATGTGGGACTTTTACACATTTTGTTTCTTTTCTTTTCAACTAGTTGAAATACGAAAGATTTTAGGCACGTACTGCAGGTATACAGGGAAAGGGCTTTAGATTTATATAAATAGTATAGATCTGCACAAAGTTAATTTGTTTCTGGTATCATGCTGGTAGTGGTTTGGTTTGGTTTTCATTTTTTGGTGTTACTTCATGTTATGAAAGTTGAACCAATTCTGAGATACATTATGTGAGAGACAACCTTAGAGGAAAAACCCATAATGGAGAACTTAATTCAATTCCATTTAGTTTCTCAAAAGATTTATATCCAAGTCTCTGTTTCACAGAGCCAAATTGGATAAGTAGATAAAAGTCTTATTTCAAAGAACCCAGGTTTAGTTTTATAATTTTCTTTTAGTTGTAACAATGCAATCTTCTTCAAAGCTTAGAGTTCTGATATGGCCAAATCTCTTATTTTCCAAATGTATCATTCTTGAGGTTCCTACATATCCTGATTAGTAAAAAGTCTAGTAACTCCCTCTTGATTAATCCTTTCCTTTGGGCCTCCTTGGAGCAATTTTGCCCAGAAACCGTCAGAGCTTACCAAGCTTAAAGTGTTTAAGGAGTCAGCCCTACTTCCATATGGCAGGTATGGAGAGAACTACAAAGTCCCATCAGCTCATTAATATACCACATCATGGGGATTCCCCTTACACCAATCCACAGATAACATTCTTCCAGACTATATGGATGCTTTTTTTGATCCACTCCTTGGACAAGTGCCCTTGAACTCCAAGTTTAGAGCACTCTTATCTCATTCCCACGTGCTCAGCCATAGTTTCTCAAAGCTTGACACAGTGCCGGGGTGACTGGGTAACAAATGACTTTCAGTCTTGGCCACAAGTCTCAGCCAGACTCCTCCTGGTGCCTTGAATACTCGAGACTAGCAGGTCTTAAATTTGAGCATGCTTAAGGAACATCTGCACAGCTTGAAAAAAATGCATATTCCTTATCCCCCCACACAGTTCACGTTCAGGAGCTCTGGAATGAATCCAAGAATCTTCAACTTTAATAGCCTTCCCGGTGCTTCTGATGTGAGTGGAAATATATGTATTACCTACCGGAGCAGTGGTCTCAATCCACTGCTACATGCTGGAATCATAAGGGAACTTTAAAAAGATGCTAATGTTCAGGACCCTGTCCTTGATCAATTAAATCAGAATGTTTGAGTTCAACAAGAGTGTAGACATTTTCCAAAAGCTATCCAGGTGATTTTAATCTGCAGCCTGATCTGAGAACCACTACCTTAGACTAGTATGATAAACACAGACCACCAGGCAGCTTCTCCCCCAAGTAGTGAGAGTCTCTTTGGGGTACTTTGTTTTTTCCTGTTGTACAACCTTTATAAAAGTCACTGTTGTGTAACTCTACCAGGTTTTCATTCTCTTTAAAATTCAGTGACACATCTTCTTTTCATACAAATTGGTCCTTCCAGTGTTGTGCATACTAAATGAAGACATATCTATAGCTAAGAAATAGGTGGGTATGCACCTACATTTGCACAATTACGTAACTTATCCTTTAGCAGTTGCAACAAATTGTGTTCCCCTACACAGAGAAAGTCTTCCTTGTTAGAATTGTTATATCCTTATACACACCCTATCACACAGCCCTACCTTACTAGGCATTAAGTTTTTAGTATATGGCTTCAGAGAGTGCTGTCTAACTGAGACCTTCTGTGCCCTAACTGTAATTTGGGATCAAAATATCAGGTTCCCCGACCTTAGTTTCATGATAGAATCCTGAGCAGGGCAGAGGTCAGCAGCAGTTTCAGCCTAGACTGTAAACCCTGAAAGCCATGTAAATCAGCCTGACTGAGGCCATTTAAGCCAGTTCAATAAAGACTTCACTTTAGGACCACAGCATAAATGTTTCATCTGCTTCCTCAATAAATGAATGGATGATTTTAAAAATCAACAGGGGGAAATGGCAGAGGGAGAAAGGGCACTTTAAACATCACTTGCTCTTTTTCTTTAAAACCTGTTTACCTTAAAGCAAGTTTACATCTATATTTAATGAGTAATAAAACTATGACAGGGTTTTAAGAATTCAGTAGAACAATATCTTGAGAAAATAATATATATGAATCAAAATTATTTGACCATTTTTAAGAGTCCATTGGTAATTGTGGAAATATTAATTATGATATGATAGATTAAGGTTGATAAAAGTTTTTGTTTTTATTTTTAAATTCATGGTTGATATTTGTGCATGTGAAGAAATTGTGGACAGGTGGGGTAGGGGACTTTGACATTGTTTCCTCCCATTAACCACTTGAAAGCCACCTCAACAAACTTCCAGTGTGAAAAAACAAAGACAGAAACAAAACTATGCAAATGCAGCTCTAAGACAAGTTCCATAAGCATTTCCTTCCCACCAAAACCTCCAACCAATTTACTGCCAGTAAGACCCTTCTATATAGGAATCCTAGAGTGGCCACTGATATAAAAACAATTATTAGAGATGTGTGGTATCTCCCAGACCCTCTATGAATAACCTGTGCTCAACATAAACTATTATCAGAGCCCATGTATTATTTATTCATCTCGTAAATAATTCATTTCTAAATATCCTCCACATGTGACTTGAAATTCTTAATAGCATCTAATAAAAGCTGCTAAATGCCAAGTGTGTGTGTGTGTGTGTGTGTGTGTGTGTGTGTGTGTGTATTCATGCATCTGTGTGCTTTTTTGTGTCACAAAAACCACTGAAGGTTATCTGTCATTTAAAAAGAAAACCTACAGGATCAATTTAATGACTACTGTGATGATTAGAAACACTCCTACCGGATTTCTGCTGCAAGTAAAGAATTAAAAGAGGATTCCTCTGACTGTGTAAGAAAATGTTAGGTTAATTCCTAAATTGCAGAGCAATTACAGACATTCAAATTCATTATAAATAGCTTTATGCTTTTCCTTTAGCCATTACTTGTCGAAAGCAAGACGGAGGACCGGCTGGCATCCATGAATGCCTCCAGAATGCAGGCCCTGTGCCAGCCCTTACCCAAGCTTGCCAGATCCCCTGCCAAGATGACTGTCAGTTTACCAGCTGGTCCAAGTTTTCTTCATGCAATGGAGACTGTGGTGCAGTTCGGACCAGAAAGCGCACTATTGTTGGTAAGAATAATTGGGATGCCAAAGACAACACTTGTCAAGGTAGAAAAACATAAAAAAGTCAGACCAAGAGCATTCTGACAATGTATTGGGTCATGGAGAAAGTCATGATGCATTTTTGCATAGAAAACATTAGAAAAAATATATCATTACTTTTCCGACGACCCAATATTTGGAAAATGTTTGGATCTGCTTTGTTGTTGCAATACTTACTTACACCTAATACATCAATGGATC